GAGCAGTTTCGTTTTTGAGGCGTTAAAATGAACAAGCCATTTCTTGTACCAGTGAGAAGTAAGTCTTCTTTTCTTGCTTTTTCAGATCAGCTGCCAATTTGACCTTATGACTGGATTAAAGATTAAGACTGGATTAAAGATTAAGACTGGATTAAAGATTTTTCATAACATTCATTAAAGTAGGATAAACTCTCACTTCTTTGTCGCTAATCCAATGGAAAGTTATCAGACGAGATATATTCCGTATTTCCACAAGTTCTAACCTTCACTGCTAGGACCAGCCATGCTATGCATATTGTCGCGAGACAACATCATTTCTTCCCTATTCTATTTCCCACAAACTACTACTCTATGGAACCGACTCCTAAGTGGTTTTCCCCGATCACTCCCATCTTAACCTGTTCAAATCTCGGGGTAACCTTTACCTTTTCCGCATATCCGCCTAATCTGGGCCCCTTGCTCTGTGACTATCTAGAGAGGTTCCCGGGCCTTGTACAGAGTGAACCACACTGTAAAAAAAAATATATATTCCTTAAAAATGGCTAACATTTTAACCGAAAACGTGAATTCCAAAAAAGGAGTCACTTGTACGGAGATAAGAAAAAGATCCGTTGTTTGTCTCTCCAGTTGTGTCTATGGACGAGGCAACATTTAGAAAAGACGGAATAACAAACTTTTACACAATCATCATTTGTGGGTGGATCGGAATCCTCATGGTAAAACACAGTCTAATCACCAGCATCAGTTTACGATTAATATGTGGACTGGAATTTTAGGCAACTGTCTGGTAGGTCGATATGTTCTGCCAGAACGCCTTGTAAAAGCTGTCTACAGTGGGTTTTTTTTTGCGATCAAACTTCCAGACCTGCTAGAGGATGTATCCCTGCTAATACAAAGACGCGCGTGGTTCATGCACGATGTGGCTCCAGCACATTTTAGTCCAATCTTTTTGCGATATACTGGCTGATATTTACCATGAAAGATTTCATGGCGGTAGGGGCGAATCGGTTCCATGGCCTTTACGTTCCACCGACCTCACTCCTTTAGATTTTTATCTGTGGGGCCACTTAAAAAAAAAATGGTTTATGCAGCAGACATTAATAATACAGAAATGCTTCATCAACGTGTCATTGGAGCTTGTGAAATCATTCTAGACTGCATGGGAATATTTGAAAGGTTAGCCCAGTTAATGATCCGATCGGTACGTGCGTGCGTAGACGCAAGCGTAGGACATTCTTTTTGGATTCTATCTAGGGTAGTACATTTAAGAACATCTACCGTAAACTTTACACTTAATAACACAAAAACGAAGGATTTGCGGACATATATTTATAGGAACTTTTGTCCTTATTCTAGTGAGAGGAACCCGACCTAAAGCTTGTAAAAATATTTTGATACACTTGTATCTACCGCTATATATATATATATATATATATATATATATATATATATATATATATATATATATATGAAAATATATAGAAAATAGGAAGGAACTGGTTAGGTAAATAATCCAATGTCCCTTAGTATTTTAGTTATTATTTTAAAATAATAGTGCTCGATACAAAAGTAGAGCATAAATATAATTATTTATTTAAAATATGATTCCTAATCGCTACATAAGAGGTCCATGTTTCAAAAACAAGAGCCGAAAACTTCAATATAATCCTTTAAATTAAATTGAGTTGAAATTAAATGGGCTCCGTTCCATCTTCAAGCGAAATTTTGTTGGAATAACGTATATCTGAAATTTACTTGTTTTAAAATTGAAATCAAAATCTCCATGGTAACAGCTAGGGTGAATTGTCTAAATTGGATAGGCGAGTGTAGGGTGTTAATAATAAGTAGCGGTATAGAGATACTTTCAAGGTGTCAAGTCGGGGAAAGGTGGGGTGTCAAAATGAAACGGAAGATGTATTAGCCATCGTCTAGTTTGCTTGAGATTTATATATATATATATATATATATATATATATATATATATATATATATATATATATAATTGCAATTTTAAAATTTTATTTTGGATACTAGTAGATGCAAATATGTGCTTCGTGGTGTAATAAATGTACAACATTTCAGCACAGTTCGAATTCCAATTGGGTTCGTTGAATTCACTCATAGCAAATACCCGCCCCCAAAGATTTTAAAAGTATGTTTGATACACCCTTTGTGTGTGTGTGTGTGTGTGTGTGTGTGTGTGTGTGTGTGTGTGTGTGTGTGTCAATATTTCAATATTCTTGTGTCAAATATCCAGAAGACTAATAACACTGCGAAACATTTAATCTCTCATAGGTAAGTTCTGTGTAATTTTTTATTTATTGATCATATATATATATATATATATATCTGTGTGTGTGCGGTGAGGGAGAAAGAGTGAGAGAGTGGGAGAAGTAGAAAGCGAGAGTGCCTGAGAGATGTCCATCTGCCAAATATTTTGAACTTTGACATCCCTAAAGACTAGCGAGATGCATTTAATAATCGACACATCGGAACTCATACTTTCCCATTCACAATGAGCATCATCACCGTGCCAATGGCGTATTCTATCATTCTGCCGCGACAGAATTATCTCGAACGTGTCTCAGGCAAATGAGGCATGTTTACACGGGAATTCCTTATGTACATCTAGGCGCGCTGGCGTTTGAGAATATTTGGCGCCAACTGTCTTGCGACATTTGCTCTGTGCCAACTAATTCACCTCTACGACTCAGGCTATATCAATCTCATATCATCGTTGGTTAATATTTTTCTCAGATTTATTCTTAATCCTACTGGATTTCTCACCATGTTTTACTTTTATATGCGTTACAGGACGTGGGCTATCATGGCTCTCCAAAACTTCCTTTCCTTTGTAGCCTTAAACTATGTTTGTTCGTTTACTGTACACTTTCCGGCATCCACTTGCAAATGTTCGTTAGGTAGGTTACTGTATTTGTCCCTTTTACCTTCAGCATATCTTGTGAATGTCATATTTCCCAAGCCCTCTTTCCTCATTATAATTTAATTTTAAGCGTTGGCTTTTCAATATACATTTAGCGTGCACTTTGAAAATAATTTGACATAATTTTGTTTTTTGAAATAATGCTGGCATCCGTCTATATTTCTGAGATGAGGTATTATGTACATTATTTACATTATTCGGAGTATTGTCCTCATCTTTGTCGCCATATTTATCCCAACGTTTCGGCCGTTGTACGCTCCGGCCTTCTTCAGGTGGTTGGAATATCGAACCTAACCCTTTATTTCGCTCACTGTGGTAGACTGTTCTAGTTCCACGTGCCATGTCTAATGGATGTTAGTTATCAGTTATCTCCTGTTAATATATATGTGTGTGTGTGTGTAAGCCCTTCATAAAGGATGGCAGACTGTTTTCTGAGTGTTGTTGTCCTCCTCTTGTACCCGTCTATCCCAGTTTATTGGGACTGCTGCCATGTACACAGGGTAGTTATTCTGTTCGACATTCCAACCAACTGAAGAAGGCCGGAGCGTACAATGGCTGAAACTTTGTGTCAAATATGGCAACAAAGATGATGACATTAGTCCGAATAATGTAAGTAGTGAATCTATCTATCAAATAGTGAATCTATCTATCGTTTTTATACTCTATCCATATTTGTCTTTCTATATATATATATATATATATATATATATATGATTTTCTAATCTGCCCATATACTATCTATCTATCTATCTATCTATCTATCTATCTATCTATCAGATAGTGTGTCTCCTTGAGTGTCTTGTCTGTCTATCTCTATATCGACCTCGTTGGCTGTTGATCTATCTATCTATCTATCTATCTATCTATCTATCTATCTATTCACACTGGTCACTATCTATCTATCTATCTATCTATCAGATAGTGTGTCTACCTCACTGCCTGTCTTGTCTGTCTATCTCTATATCGATCTCGTTGGCTGTTGATCTATCTATCTATCTATCTATCTATCTATCTATCTATCTATCTATCAGATAGTGTGTCTCCCTGAGTGTCTGTCTTGTCTGTCTATCTCTATATCGACCTCGTTGTCTCTATCTATCTATCTATCTATCTATCTCTATCTATCTATCTATCTATCTCAGTCCGTTCATATCTATCTATCTATCTATCTATCTATCTATCTATCTATCTATCTATCTATCTGTTCAAATCTTCTGTCTTCCGTTATGGGGGTGATATTGGCTCTCCACTACTTTCTGTCCTTTGTAGAACTTAATAAAAATTCGTCGTTTTGCTTATTCATTTCACATTCCATATCTGTCTATCTAATTTTTTTTTTACTCTGTTCATATCTAATTATCTGTCTGTGAGTGTATGAATATATATATGTATGGCTGTATGTATGTACACATTGAGACTCAGTACGTAAACTTTTCATGCCCCCACTTCTCTAGAGTATACCAATCAGCTGGTGGACTCAAGCGCCACAGGAAAGTTCACAGTGAAGCCAACACCATGTCTGTTATCTCAACCAATGCTCATGGGGGCCAAATCTGCTACGAGATATGCAAGTCGCTGGCAGGAATGAAAAGTCATCAACGGGTTCATGGACAATCAATCAATGAAAGAGTGGCAATCGTCTGACAAGACGTCGCAATCAATAAGTTTCTATCTATCTATCTATGTATCTATCTATCTATCTATCTCGGTTTTTATATGGCTAGGTCGCTATATCTCTTAACATTTACCTACCTACCTAACTCATTTACTTCTGTCACGCAATATTCATCTATCTATCTATCTATCTATCTATCTATCTATCTATCTATCTATCTATCTATCTATCTAGGCCTGTTTATTATCTATCTCTTGGCCTGTTCGTTATCTTTCTATCTTGGCCTGTTCAATATCTATCTTGGCCTGTACATTATCTATCTATCTATCTATCTATCTATCTATCTATCTATCTATCTATATATCTCGGTCTTTATATGGCTAGCTCGCTATATCTCTTAATTGTTACCTACCTACCTAACTCATCAACTTCTGTCAGGCAATGTCTATTTATCTATCTATCTATCTATCTATCTATCTATCTATCTATCTATCTATCTATCTCGGTTTTTATATGGCTAGCTCGCTATATCTCTTAACTTTTACCTACCTACCTAACTCATATACTCCTTTAAGGCAATGTCTATCTATCTATCTATCTATCTATCTATCTATCTATCTCATTCTCTCTTTCTATATATATATATATATATATATATATATATATATATATATATATATATCTATCTTTCTTCTTTTGTACTCTTCCATATTTCTCTTTCTATATCTACCATTTTCTAATCTACCCATATCCCCATCTATCTATCTATCTATCTATCTATCTATCTATCTATCTATCTATCTATCTATCTACCTGTTTTCGTTCTGTTCATATTTATGTAAGGTTTTTTTTTTCTATTGTGCTTATGTTTTATTTTATTGTTTTATTCAGTTAATCTCTTTCTCTCTCCCTCTCTCTCTCTCTCTCTCTCGCTCTATCGTTTCATTTATTCAGTTCATGTCTGTTTGTCTCTCTGCATTAATCGTTCTTTTTTAATTCTGTAGTCTTATAACTATTTATCTATTTTTGTATTCTATCCGTATCTATCAATTTTCTTATTCTTATTTTTATTCTGTTCACACACACACAAATATATATATATATATATATATATATATATATATATATATATATATATATATATATATACCTATCATCTATCATTGTTTCTATCGCCTTTTTTATTCTGTTCATATCTATCTATTCATCTATCTATCTATCTATCTATCCTCATTCTGTTCATATCTATCTATCTATCTACCTATCTATAATTAGTTATTCACTTCATATCTGTCTCTCTCGATATATAAATTGTTATTCTGTCCATGTCTCATTCTCTCTCTCTCTTTATCCCGCTATCATTTTTATTGTATTCATCTATCTATCTATCTATCTATCTATATATTTTTATTTTGTTCATATCTATCTATATGTTGTGGATTCCGAGATGAATTCGGTCTCCAAGGAATGACAAACGCAATAATTAAATATAAGAAATAAAATGTATTTACACAATCATACAAAGAGTAATACTGTTAGTAAATTCAGGAACGCGGTTAGTAGCAAATACAGATAGATATATACAGTCTCGAAGTACGACTTCCTTAGAGTCTACGTGCTCTGTAACTGATATCTACAATAGGTTACCTCACACTATCTCCGTTCGTATATTTTCTCTCTCTCTCTCTCGCTCTCTCTCTCTCTCTCTCTCTCCCCGTATATACCCTCTCACTGACTGTCTATCTCTGGGTATTTAACGGCAGCACTCCAACTGGTAGAGTCCACTTATATGAAAAGGGGAGGACCTCATAACACTATCTATCTCATTATGTTAATATCTATCTATCTATCTATTTATGAATCGATTTTATTCTGTTCATATCTATCTATCAATCTAGCTATCCCTGTTTCCATTTATCTATCTTGCTAAATTTCTATATCTGTGACACCAGCTCGGCCTTAACCTCTATCACACCTTTCTGAATATAATCCCGGGGTGGGGGGTTCTGACCACTACATTCTTAACTTCTTCGAGTCTAGTATTGACCGTTATCTATCCCACATATCCGAATACAGTCTTACCCCCTCAGACATCAACAAACTTCTGAATGCGTCTAGCTTGAGGGGCTCATGGATTTTGTGTAGGATAAACATTAGTATTAGTGAAAAAAAAAAGACGTAGTGTCATTTGTAATTATACAAACTCGTCTTGATATATTACAAAGATACTGGTTTTCCATTTTTCCCGTTTCGTTCACAAAGTATGGACTCGATATTGCAATCGACATTTCATTGGCTGTCAGACAGCAGCCGATTAGGCGCATGTTTAGATACTTATTTATCTGGCTAACGTCGCCCACGAACGGTAACTTTTAATCAAGACGAACGTAAGATGGTGTCCGTGCCCTTTAGCCGAACATTCGATTCGACTACAGAAAAGTAGCCGCCAGTAACAGGTCGGTTTGATGGGGCGTAACTTTTGCTACTCATGCGTTCAAAAGAAATAACCAGTTTGTTCGCTGCCAAAAATAAAAGAAAAAAAAAGAAAAAAAGAAAAGAAAACTAATTGATTCGACTTCGAAGAATTGTGACGAATGCACGCAAAGTCCTGCAGCGTCAGTCGCAAAAGATGTCAGACGATTGACGAGAAACACGTCTTTTATATTACTCCCATCTCTATCACTGTTTCGACATTGTTTTTTTTCTGTCGTATAACCTAGTAAAATAAATACATACATACATACATACATACACACACACTAGCACAAAGACACACAAACTCAAATATATATATATATATATATATATATATATATATATATATATATATATATATATATATAAGTTATAAAGAACTTGGTAAACCGAATTGGTAAATCCAAGGAGGATGAAATCCTGAGAGCTCAATGAAGAACAGAGTTAATATTTAATGAACAACAGACACTATTTTATTTCAAAAATCCTTTTTAAAGATTTCGGATCATCAGGTTGAAAGTGTTTACCTGATGATCCGAAATCTTTTTAAAAGATTTTGGTGAAATAAATTATTGTAATGGTACCTTAAAGTGGTCTGTTTTTCATTAAAATTTATATATATATATATATATATATATATATATATATATATATGCATCTGCACTGCATTAATTATTTGCACAATCTATCTCAATCTCATATATATATATATATATATATATATATATATATATATATATATATATATATATTCAGATGGATAGATAGATAAGTAGATAGATAGATACATAGATAGATAGATAGATAAATATGAACAGACTGAGATACACAGATACTACTAGATTCGTATATATATGAAGAGATAGATGGTAGATAGATTGCTAGATAAATAGATAGATATGAAACGATGCAGACATGACAAGGTAACGATTGATATATATATATATATATATATATATATATATATATATTCATCTTCACAGCATTTGCACATCTCACTCTCTTTTGTTAACATATATATAAATATATATGTGGGTATATATATATATATATATATATATATAAAATATGTAAGTGAACATATATGCAATCGTCAGCACACGTGGCCTGACGATTGCATATAGCATGAAACAGACTGTCGCCTCTAAGTGTTGACTTTATGTTCACTTTTTATTCACACGCCTATCTCTGATATTGAGCACTTTATCCCATAAATATAAGTACACCTTAAGACTATATTTCTTTATATATATAGATATATATATATTGTAGTTTTAATTTTAATTCTAAAGAAATAAAGAATTTTATTTTTAATCTATATATTATTATGTAAAACGTTAATTTTAATGGATACTTCATATGAGTAGATGCTCCATTTTGTAAAACAGTGTTTATTTCGAGACAAAGATGTAAGTACATAGATAGATAGATAAGAAACATGTGCAAGCTTCTGCCTGTGTCTGTCTGTTGTCTGTCTCTCTACTTTCTTTATATATATATATATATATATATATATATACATTCGCGTTGTGACTTGCATTGTACATACAGATATAAACAGAGCAAGATAAAACCTAGCTTATATATATATATATATATATATATATATATATATATATAAAGATATATAAAAGAGAGAGAGAGAGAGAGAGAGTGAGAGAGAGAGAGGGAAATGGGGACAGAAATATGAACGGACTAAGATAGATAAGTAGCTAGCTACTTAATAGTAGTTAATATCTATCTAGCTAATTAATAGTAGTTAATATCTCTCTATCTCTCTAGCTAGCTAGCTAGCTAGCTAGATATTACCTACTCTTTGTCCTGCCCAGGGTTAAATCGGAAGCAGAATTATTGTGCCGACACAAGTGTCCAGTTAGGAATGTTAGATGTAGTCGACCTTCAGGCCTTGACATTCCTTGCTTTTATCTAAGCTGCAAAACTAACTGCTGGCTCCAGTGAGAAACACGCAGTTCTATCAGCCCTGAGGCTGTCTTCCAACTCAATCTCTATTTGAAACGCAGGCATTCTATTGTTCCAAATCCTGGTTCTTCGATTGGAATTTCCGGCTCAACTGTTTTCCCTCTGCTTTGTGTATCCGATGAAAGGTTTGTTGACATTAGGCATCATTTTGCCACGCCTAGCTGATAACAATTTTTGTCTGAATTTCTTAGATAAGCCTTGGTTACTATATATATATATATATATATATATATATATAAAATTTAGCAAGATAGGTAGATGGGAACAGGAATAGCTAGATTTATAGATATGAACAGAATAAAATCGATTCATAGATAGATAGATAGATAGACATCAACCTAATGAGATAGATAGATAGATAGATAGATAGATAGATAGATAGATAGATAGATAGATAGATAGAAAGATAGACATCAACCTAATGAGATAGATAGATAGATAGATAGATAGATAGATAGATAGATAGATAGATGTGAAAAAAATAAAAATTTATAGATAGATATATACATATATAGACAGATATATAGAGAGAGATGAACACAATAAAAATGATAGCGGGATAAAGAGAGAGAGTGAGACAGGAACAGAATAACAATTTATATATCAAGAAAGACAGAGATATGAAGTGAATAACGAATTATAGATAGATAGATAGATAGATAGATAGATAGATAGATAGATATAGACAAACAGACTAATACGAAAGGTGATATATATATATATATATATATATATATATATATATATATATACTTTCTTATCACTATTCTCGTTTATGTCTTATTTATTGCAAATTATCGATCGCTATATTCTAAGCGCATCTTTTGGAGTTTTAAAGAGATTTGTTTTCCTAATATTATATGTCGACTACCTTTAGCAGATGGACAGATATTGTCCTCCACAGAATCCTATCATTTGTAGCATAAGTAATTTTTGTCTCATTACTAACCCTTTCATTCCGTCGCCTGACATCTATTGAAAGAAACTCCTTAGTTTTTTTTTTATTGTATTATCATGCATTTTTTAATCGATTCCACCTTAGGCAAGGGCGTAATGCCACTAAGGAACATGGGTCTACTGGGTGTGTAAAAATTAGAAAACAGAAACATTATAAATTAGCGAGAACATAACAAGAGACGCCCTGGGTATGACGATAAACTATATCCTGCAGGAAGGCCACTGATCGAGAGGTTTAGTGGAGTATGGAACCACTTCTTATTTTCTGTTGCTCCTAGTTGCACCCTGATCTGGGGTGGTACCACCTGTTAGGGCCCCAACTATGGGCAAACAGGGTTTACAACATTATGAATGTTTAAAAATGCACTTTTTGTAGTAAAAATAGACGAAATACATATTCATAGTTGAAGAATTCCCAGCAATACATTTTAGCATTATATATATATATATATATATATATATATATATATATATATATATATATATATATATATATATATATTTATTTATTCTATAAACATGTTAATAATACATGTATATATATATATTTATTAATTCTATAAACATGTTAAAAATCACTACAA